GACATAAAAGAATAAGAATTAAGACAGAACATAATGATTGACATTGCACTTAAATTTTTGAAGATCAAAATTGGCTGGGAAGCAAGAAGCCAGAAGAGAGTTCCACAAGTGAGAAGTGTGATTACATCTAGTAATTTCAAATGTAAAATGATGAGACCTTGCTGACAATCTAGTAGTGCACTTAAATTCATAAAGTCTAGATACCAAAGAGGAAAGCTCATTAGAACAATTACCATGAAAGGATTTATAGAAAAGTCACAGGGAAGCTACGTTATGGTGGTGAGAAAGGGGCTGAGGTCAAGATGTCAGATAACATTGCAGATTCTTTTGGGGATTTTTACCAATAACCTCTAAATATATAACAACACGGGCACCAGACCAGACGTGGCAGTAATATTTAAAGCAAGAATGAGTTATCCAATTTGTTTTGCTTAATAACAGATTTCTTTAGATTTAGTGAATTTAAAAAAAAAGTAAACATTTTATTGCTAAAAATAAATCTACCATTCAATGACTAGGTTGTGGCACTTATTATTGTGCAAAAATTCTTAGATGCTATATATGGAATAAACAACTAGCAGAATGTTTAAACTTATCAAATTATTTTAGTGATGTCAACATGCTAATCTTTTAAACAACTACATATTGAAGTAAAGAAATGGAACTTTGTGCTATCAACCAATCTATATATCCATTTACTGTAGTCAAAAAGTACAGCTGTATTTAAAATAAATATGATTTTGATAAAACTGATGTTTTACTTAACTGTATCCAATGATAATGCACATAATATTCACATATTAGTATCGTTATTATATAATCCTAACAAATATGCTTCTTTTCCATTGTTTGTAAGATATTTAGCTGTTTCTCATTGAGTTGTTTATGGCTGTATGCATTTACACAACTAGTATAGTGTTACTAACAATATTTTTATCATTTACTTTTACTTTTTTAACTTATTTAACTAGAAGATGGAATAAAGAGATGGAAGAAAAGAGGTTAGTCTATTGTAATTTGGTCTCTCAAAAAAGGAACTCACATGATACACAAGATACATTACTAAATCATTTTTTATAAGTGGAAATTTGGGGGTTACATGATATGCAAGATCTCATGTTACATAAGTATATATAGTACATGAATTTCATTTTATAAATTCAGTCTGTTTTAGTAGTTCATGCCCCCATTCCAATTAAAAAATTAACCGAGATTTTTCTGTTAGTGGTCAATAGAAGTGTTTGAGTAAGTTCCTCATTTGTAGCTTCTGCATGTTTGGCTCTGCAAATAAATAAAACTTGCTAAGAATTTGGTTTGGTTTGTTGTCTTTTACGGCATATCAACCTCATTGGGTTATTTAATGCCGACAACTTTTTTTTCCTGGTAATATATTGTTTTGTTAAAAACCTATTTCTGATAATATTTTTTTCCTTAAAAATGTATAGCTGGTAATATTTTTTTTCAAAAATATATTGCTGGTACTAGTTTTCTTTTCCTCAAAAATTTATTTCTGTTAACAATTCTTTTACAAAGTATTATCTCTGGCATTAAAACCCATTTTTACACTTTTATAATAATTTTTACCTCAGTTTCGGGGTTAACTATTTGCCCATAGCTGGGACCCTAACAGGTGCTACCACCCCGGGTCAGGGTGGACTTGGGAACACCAGCAATTAAGTGGTTCCACACTCCTCAAAACCTCTTGATCAGAGGCCTTGCTGTTGGATGTAGTTTATCGTCATACCCAGGACGCAGATCTAGTTTAACGTCATACCCAGGACGCGGATCTAGTTTAACGTCATACCCAGGACGCGGATCTAGTTTAACATCATACCCAGGACGCGGATCTAGTTTAACGTCATACCCAGCACAATAGGAATTTGGGTTTGTTTCTTTGACGGAAACATCTGAAAGTCAGGTTACAGTGACAAGAATCCTTGCCATGCTTTTTACTATGTCACTGCTCAGATGACAACTTTTCATTGTGCATTAATAACATTGAAGTGACCTTAATGATGGGCTGATTCAAATTCTCTGGCAACAGCTGTTACTAATTTATTACATTTATAACATTTGCAATTAGGATGTCTAACATTACAACCCCTACCCTGCTCTCTCTCTCTTTCACACACACACAAATTTTTTAAAGGCTGAACCAAAAGTTGTTTTATAAAGATTAAGTGATATGCTTCAACATTAAGGAGTCCCATTTTAACCAGAATAGATTGCCTGTTACTGAAACAATACAGCTTTTCTGAGATGAATTGATGAACAAAGAGAATAATTAATAAAAAAAAAAAAAATTCTCTCTTTCTTCAAACCATGAATTGTGCTTTACAGCATTTTTACAAAGCCGTTCTTGAATAATTCTATAGCTGATCTTAACTTAAATGTTACAATGCTCAATGCCTCACTATGACAGTTACTCTTAGGTACTTAATATAAGGTGTGGTACTTAATTGCAGGGGGAGTCAGAATCTGTTACAATATACAATACATGGAGTCGGGTCTTAATAAAAGGAGTGTCAGAAACCATTTAAAGAGTCAAAAAGTGCAAAATTAATAAAAAAAAACAATAAAAAGGGTGCTTTTTAATAAGCTTGGGGTGGGGTTGGAAAATTTCCTAGAGAGCAGAAAAAAAAAGAAGAGAGACGAGGGCAAACAGAGAGAAAAGAAATTCCTAAAAGAAAATACGTAAGAAATAAAATTATAAATTTAAACATTCCCACACCTTTTATCAGGCAACTAAGAGTAGTGTCTCCATTGCCTCCAATATGATTTAAAATGTCCTGTGAGTGTTAAATTTTCTAAGCCTTTTTTCTCATTATGTACCCTAGAAATTTCAACTTTCTCTTTCTGATTCTAAGTATAAGTGTTCTTTTTGTTTCCAGTTTACTTAAAACTTTGTCGTTGCTGAAATGTTCAGTCCATGGTATTCTCAGCATCCTGCTGTAGAACCACATTTCAGTTGGCTCAAGTCTCTTTGCCATCAGTGAGGAAATTGTCCAGTAATATTAATAAATGCAGAACAAAAAATGAAGTGTCATAAAAAAAACTAAAGTTAGTGAATTTATAACTTTAATTCTTCAGCTTGCTTTATGGTAAATTATAGTCAAGGAATAACACGGTTTTGTAAAGATTGATCGCCTTTAAAATGGGCGAAACATTCAAGAACTACTCATATATGATTCTTCCAGTGATTTTTAAGACAAACAATTCATTACAAATTTTTATAGGTCAGTTAAATTATAGACAAATGTCTGAGTTAGCTCCCTTGATTTCAATTATTGATTATTCATTAATACAATCACACCATGGATCAATATGGACATTTGCCCTGATCTATCATGTGTTAAATACAATGTCTTAGACCTGCAACTCATCCAATATGACTGCCACCCATACAACCACCAAGTAGTTTTCACTGAAACAATTTACATCTTAACACTTTGATCTCAAGTTCGACATTTAGACTCTAGACCAGTGTTATTCAACCTTTTTATCCCCAATGCACCCACTTTCACCATGTCAGAAAGTCCCCACCCTTTCCAAGATTGTTCAACTCAAAAGGTGCATTCCAAATGATATGCATATATTATTGAAAATCTTCCTTCTTTTTCATATTAGTACATATGGATTATTTTTATAGGGTTTTACAAATTTAACAGCAACAGAAAAGTGTTATATAGGAATAAAGTGTCACTGCCAACTTTTGGGCTTGAACACAGATCACCAGAGAGCAAACACAGGTGCTCCCATTTTGAATAAGTAGATCATGATTTCTATTCGGATCACTCTTTCTAGACTATCCTCCATACGGATCACTCTTTCTACACTATCCTCCATACGGATCACTCTTTCTACACTATCCTCCATACGGATCACTCTTTCTACACTATCCTCCATACGGATCACTCTTTCTACACTATCCTCCATATGGATCACTCTTTTTCTACATCACTACACTCCTCCATAATGGATCACTCTTTCTACACTATCCTCCATACGGATCACTCTTTCTACACTATCCTCCATACGGATCACTCTTTCTACACTATCCTCCATACGGATCACTCTTTCTACACTATCCTCTATCTCTATACTATTTCTCTATACTGATTACTATTCAGATCACTATTTGGTGGTTAGTATTCGAGCGAGTATTATCAAGCAAATACTATTACTGCAAGTGTTATTCAAAGGTGTCTGACACTAGTATTGTTCAATGGCGTTACTATAGTGTATCTGCAATTACAAAGTCTCTACTGCAGCAAGCATTACCAAAGTGACAACAAGCATTCACTGAGATCACAAAAAATAGTTTACTGAATTTTTAAACTTGAATATATGTACAGTAATTGGTTTTAATTCATAATTATTAAATAAATAAACTGAAGGATAGTTCAATAAACAAAAAGTTCAATAAAAGGTCAGGGCATTTAAATTAATTTTATTCTGATGAAGATTACAGTCAATGAGAAACTTGTAAAAAAGTAAAATATTTTTCCTCCCCCAGCAACTCCCCTGAAACTATCTTGTGGTTGAGAACTCCTGCTCTAAACCAATTTCAACAATAGTAGCTGATCTGTGGATGTCTCTTAGAAAGTTGCTATGAAGTGTCCACAAAATAAATATTATTTATGTCTTTACTATTTAGCAAAACAACAATTTCAATCCTTAATCGGGGAAACTTTCATATCACCAGGATAATATGTCATGTAAAGTGCCATTTGAACATTCAAGTAATTCTATTGACTTGCCTTGTTGAAATTTACTAGTTCTTGCATCATTGAGTTTTAATTTCTACATAGCAGCAACTTTTTATAACTACAATTTCTTATTTAATAAAATATTTTTTTATTTATTTTGCAGGGAAATATTTCAAGTCACTATAATAAATCCTGACAGTTTGGAAAGCATGGAATTAAGGATTCTGCAAAGAAAAAAAAAGGTGGAAGAAAGAAAGAATTTCAAGAGAAACTATTTCTTGCATTACTCACCAGATAAGCGTGCACCACGTTTGAATGCTTCATGTAAGGTTGTTACATCAGTTAAAGAATCTTCATGAGTCTGGCTTCCTAATAAACAGGATTTATGGGCACGTTCTGGTCCCTGGAAAAAAAAAACAATTAGTTAGCAGTGTTTTGTAGAGTTTTTTTTTAAAGAAAAAATAAACATTTTCGAGGTTAAGAGAGAATGCTATCAGTCAAGAGAAAGTACAAATAAATTCAATGGGAACAGATATTCAAGTTAGAAAAAATAAATTCAGTTGAATGGAATTTACTAAAAAGTAAGAAATTGCTTTGCTTACTAAATAAGAAAAATAAAAACAAATGTGAAATAATATTTTTGACATCAATTGACAATATTCAATTACTATTTTCTTATGTTGCTACAAAACATGAGTCTACACTCTTGCCTTTTAAACAACAGACATTATAGCTTCAAGGTAGGATGAAAAAAATAGGATTCTATTTTCAATAGAAGAGAAATATTTTTATTTAAACTATTTATATTCAGATTATTGTTCTCATCTTTGTTGTTTTTATCACAATGTTTCGGTCATTGTGCTCTCTGTCCTCATCAGGTGCATATTGATCAGCGTAACCTACAGGGAATTCTGAACTGAACTTTAACCTTTAACAAATATATTCTTTCTAGAATTTTTCCTTTTACCACTGAATTTTTTTTTGAGGGCACAAAAATATGAACATCTACTGTTTTAAAATTGTTATATCTTTCTGTGTGTACAGATTTCATTTTTTGTATACTAATAAAAGAATGGATAAGTAATATTTTGATGTAATGCATTATGTAATGCATTACATTTTGCATGCATGTTTTGATGTTGAAAACAAAAAAAATGAAACAAAAAAAAAAAAAAAAAAAAAAAATTTTTTTTAACATACTTCAATTTTTATTACTCCTTGTAAGGTTCTGAGGTGCAATAAGAAGCAAAACGGCTAAGAAGGCTTCCATTTCGTCAAAACAGTGACGTGCTTCCTTGTGTTTATATGCCAGCATTTGTTTGGTCTTTCTTTCACCTGACTAGCATATTTATTTTTCTAGTTGACAAATAAATTTATTATTTCATCACTTATTGTTATAGTGGAACACACCTATACTATAGTAAATAGACTCTCCCACCTATAATAAGTAGGAGTAGTAAGAGTAACAAGGAGTCGCTGAGTCGGGTCGGTCAGTCAGTCGATGCCGGACAACCGTTAGTCAGATACTAAAGTATCAGCGACCACAACTAGATTACTCTGCGTCATACCTATTATATGAAGTTCCTAACGTTTTGTACGTCGAACCTATTTTAGGACCGACTTAGTACAAATACAAGCCTCCACTGTGAAATCACTCCATAACACTTATAAATAGATGAAAGAATTCACCTTCAGACAGGCTGTCAGGCACATTCATGGTTGCAAGTTGCTTCCAAAAAATTAGTCATCCATGGATGATAGTAGCCATTAGTGGTCATCATCGTTTTTCCTCCATGTTAGTGAAATGTGGTCATCATTTCTGACCACTTCAATATTCACTTGAGTAAAGCCTTCAAAATCATAATCGAAATCTGAATCAAAGAAAAACTCCTGAATAAAGATTTTTTTTTTGGATGCTGATGTGACCATTTTGTTTACAAAAAAAAAAAAAAAAAAAAAAAATTAACGATGCTACAGCTCATGTAGAGTTTGGAAGAACTGAAAATGGCATTGGAAAATGAAATTTTAGCCTTGTTCAAAAGGCAGTAGTAGGCAACTTCCAGCTTAAAATACCAGAAATAACAGTTGATAAATGTTTATTTATAGCAACCATATCAAGGTGACAAAATGCACCTAGAGCTGCAAAGGGAGAGAATTCTATGGTGACAATTTTTGCCTACAGCATGGTAATGGTTAATCTACAGGAGTAGACTGTTTTCCTTCCACTGTACATGTCTAGAGATATTTTACCTAGTTCTTACTTTTAGTATTGTTCTGTTATTTTCATCCTGTTCCCACTAAGTCTAAGTACACACTTCTCAAGCCAAGGATTGAACTCACAATTACTAAGTCACCAAATTCATGAATCAATGCTTTAATCCATTCGACCACTGTCCCATAGGTAAAATGAAGACAATGGTCAAAACATAAATAATAACTCCTCATCCCAGAAATTCAGACAGAAATATTTCTATTCTCTCTTTTACTCTGAGCAGAACAGTCTTAAATTTTAGCATGCTGCAGGCAAAGGTTTGTGGGGAAAAACTGTCTTACCACTGCAGGTAACTCCAATCTTCAGCTCTGTTGGCATATCCTGCTATGGCAACCTCAAAAGTATCTAGACTAAAATCAAGAACAAGCTTACTGCAGTAGAGATGCCTTGAAAAAGAATGCAGTAAAAAAGAAGCAATACTTGTGAATAATAAAGTGTTAAACATCACCTCTACTGGGTGGATCACATGTCCAAAATGTTTCCCACTCAAAATCCATGTATCATACAGTTTGGAGAACTCACCCATGGTGAGAGGCTACATGGAAGCCCAAAACAACACTTCAAAGAGTAGTTGAAAACATCCCTCACACAGGCCAACATCATCCCTGAGACCTGGGAAAGTGTTGCTGCAAATTGGCCTTCCTGGTGTAGGACCATCTGAGGGGTGATGGATCCACAACATGCTGTCAGAAGGTCCCAACTCACCCAGCCTCATCCACCACCCACACCTCATCTGTGACTCCTTCTCATGACTCTTCAGGAGTAGGTTGGACCTTCACAGCCATCTCCATCACTACCATCGAAGGGGAGAAAGGGAATAAGGTGAGAGGGTGATGATCCCGATGCTCAGATGCTGACTATAACTAAAGGTTTAAAGAGAAGAAAAGTTCAATATTCTACAGATTCAGCTACCCCACGTTCAGCAAAGATGATATGTCAGCTTCCTTTGGTGCCTCCTAAAAATCTGCAGTCAGAATTGGGAACTTATATTCAAATGAAACAAGGTCAAGGTTGATGCAGTATTTAATCCTTCTGAGCCTAGGATTGAGGAATAGGAGAGCCAAGTTCAAATTCCAGTAGAATCCATTACATTCACTTACGTGTTAATACCCTTGGGGAAGGTATGAATCCTCTTCTCTCCCCCCCCCAGCTATGGGTAAATAACAGGACAGACCAGGTTCTATAGCCTTGCATGGCAATTGGTCTACTGCAAAAAGAAATGGAACCTACTACAGGAAAAAATCTGTCTCGTCAGTCATGTATCGAAAGATATATGATCGCCTAAGAGCGTATCACGCACGGCACATAACTGAGACCAATTAAATAAATACAATCACATATACATTAGAGAAAGAGATTTTAAATTAAACAGAAATAAAAGTGATGCAAAGAAAATAAAGATTTGCTTTTGACTATGACTTAAAGAAATGTAGATTAAAAATTGGAATTATTGCATCCAATCACCAAAACTATGAACTAGGTAGAAACATGTAATCAAGGTAGGGAAACTTAATTGTATATTTCACTGACCATCTGTCCGAGTAAAACAATGGAATGGATGATAAATAGTAGATCGATCTGGTACTTGGAGGAAAATAAGCTAATTACAGAACTACAATGTGGTTTCAGAAAGAAAAGAAGCACACTGGACCACCTAATCCACTTAAAATCGACTATAACAAATGCATTTGTTCAACAAAAGAACATTTTACAGCAATTTTCTTTGACTTGGAGAAAGTTTACGATATTACATGGAGATATGGTATCATGAGGGATCTGCATGCCCTTGACTTGAAAGAAAGACTAGCAAAATCCACAAAAGGTTTTCTTACTAATAGAAAATTCAAAGTGTGAGTTGGATCAACTCTCTCTGAACTAAAAGACATAAGAGGGAGTGCCATAAGGCAGTATTTTATCAGCAACACTGTTCAGTATAAAAAATAAATAATATCGTAAAAAATTAAACCTCCAGGATAGGACTTCTGTATGTAGATGACTTCCTCATTTTTTTTTTTTACAGATCCATACATATGCACACCACAGAAAAACAATTACATCAATGTCTTAATAAAGTTAACCAATGGACAACTGAAAATAGCTTCAGGTTTTCTAAAGCAGAAACTAAATTTATGCATTTCTGTCAGAAGAGAAAACTTGATTCTTTTCTAAGACTAGAAGAGACTGAAGTACCAGTTGTAGATCAACATAAGCTCTTGAGAATAATATTTGATAAAAAGCTCACTTTTATCCCCCATCTGAAATATCTCAAAAAGAAATGTAACAAAGCAATTGTGGAGAATTACCTCGTAGGTCCAAGAGGGCTAGAGTAGCATAGTCTATATGTGCAAGCAAATTGCTAGCGATGCAGACTGTCTGAGAATCGGCACTGGAATAACTAGGCGCATGTGTCAGTGAGTCAGGACTGGCAGCATGCCCAATATGCAAATTCTCTGGCTTGGCAAGAATGTATAAAAAGGCAAGTCCTCGTTGAGCTGGGAGAAGGACTTTTGTGCGTTCATCTTAATTCACGTCATTGCATACTAAACCAGAATTTGTTGCAAAGGTGTTTCTAGTGTCTGTGCTACTGAATCCCATCTTTTCTGCTACAGCAATACTTTTCACGTTGGTGAATCACACTGTAAGGGGAGCAGACTGGAAAACTTTACAAACACTTTACAGGACTAATTTGATCAAAATCCATCAAGGAAATCCTATTTAAAACTCCTTGATTTTACCATCCACGGAGGTTTAAGACTGGCGCTTGGGGTTTTTAAAACCTCACCAGTTGAAATGTTATATACAGAATCTGATGAAACTCCTAATCTTAGATGTGAAAAACTGACATTACAGTATTATACAAAACTAAAACCCTGTTCATCTAACTCTTCCTACAAAAATACTTCCCTCCCTCAACACAGAAAGCTCTATTAGCAAAAAAAAAAAAAAAAAAAAAAAACTATAAAATCATTTGGGTTTCAATCCATGATAATATCACACCCTGGACCATACAATTTCCAAAAATAATATTGGACACATGCAAATTCCAAAAAACAAATATGCATCCTCTTAATTTTCAGGAAGAATTTGATAAAATCAAAGAAAACTATCCCAGTCACACACCTATTTTTACAGATGGGTCCAAACGCGGAAACATAACAGGATGTGCAGCAATATCTCAGAAGAAAATAAGTAGTAAGTGCCTCCCAGATGAAAACTCCATCTTCAATGTTGAAGCCTATGCCATAGATCTAGTGCTCAGCATTATTTCAATAAATAAAAACAAAAAATTATAATCTTTTCTGATTTATTATCAATATTAACAACACTAAAAAACTTGACAACTCATTAAAAGTCAAGTTGCTAAATAAACTCCATTTAATATCCATGTCTATAGATGTTGTGATGTGTTGGTTCACAAGTCTTGTTGGAATAATTGGAAATGACAAAGCTGACACAGCTGCTAAACACGTTGAAAATATAGAAATTGAGCTGAACTTTAAGGTTCCTTACACAGACCCGAAGAGCCAAATAAACAGATTTATTAAACAAAAATGGCAACAATGCTGGAATAACGATGCTCAAAATAAATTACTACAAATCAAGCCAATATTTGGTGAATGGAAGCCAGGATACAGAAATTCCCGAAAAGAGGTAGTCTTGGCTTGCTTGCACATTGGCCATACAAGTATTACACACTCATACCTACTGAAAGAGGAAGATCAGCCAACATACAAATCTGCATACATTACAATGCATGTATTGACTGGATGTATGGCTCTTGTTCCATCTAGGAAGATTTTTTTCAGTATAAACGAAATAAGGGAGCTCTTTGAAAGAGCAAGGATGGAGGATGATATATCATTTCTCAAAAGAGTGAGTTTATACCAAAAAAATAAACCTAAAAAAAAAAAAATATATATATATATATATATATATATATATATATATATATATATATATATTAAGACATATTTTTTATGTTTAACGTTGTTATTTATAGATACAAGTATTTAAGCAAATGCTCTGTTTATGATAAACAGTATTAAATAACATTTACCGCCTGAATGTCCGAGAAATTTTCATAGAAAATTTTCGTTCTTTGACAGGATTCGAACCTGCATCCTATCTGGAACCGTCATATACGCTTGCGTGCCTTTTACCGCTTGAGCTACAAAAGAACCAATCGGTAGACAAGGTCAATTTACTGCTTATAAACTCCAACTTTCCATGAATCTCGTACATTCATAACTGCTCTGGCGTATCGAATGTAAACAAATGACGTCATATATTAAGAAATGGACAAGGTCCGACAATTTATTTATTAAAGACATATTTTTTATGTTTAACGTTGTTATTTTATAGATACAAGTATTTAGCAAATGCTCTGTTTATTGATAACCAATATTAAATAACATTTACGGCCTGAATGTCCGAGAAATTTTCATAGAAAATTTTCGTTCTTTGACAGGATTCGAACCTGCATCCTATACGGAACCGTCATATACGCTGACGTGCCTTTACCGCTTGAGCTACAATTGTTTACATTCGATACGCCAGAGCAGTTATGAATGTACAGATTCATGGAAAGTTGGAGTTTATAAGCAGTAAATTAGGCTTGTCTACCGATTGGTTCTTTGTAGCTCAAGCGGTAAAAAGCGTATGACGTTCCGTGATAGGGATGCGTTTAATCCTGTCAAAGAAATCCAAAATTTTCTATGAAAATTTCTCGACATTCAGGCCGGTAAATGTTATTTAATACTGTTTATCATAAACAGAGCATTTGCTTAAATACTTGTATCTATAAAATAACAACGTTAAACATAAAAATATGTCTTTAATAAATAAATTGTCGGACCTTGTCCATTTCTTATATATATATATATATATATATATATATATATATATATATATCTCTAAACCAACCAAAAAAGCTGAAATTATTAAGTTGAAAAAATAAATAGCTGATACCATATCATTGGGCATAAAAAAAAAAGAAAGAAAAAGGTTTATAAAATATAAGAATATCTCAATTGTAAATGACTCACAAGAAGGCCGATAAGGCGTAAAAAAACAAAAACAAAATAACAATTGTATATTAAAAGCATAAATTATCTTTTCCTAGTTATATTAAAAAAAAATTATGAAATAAAAAATTACATACTCCTATACACAGACACACACAAGGTCTGCTAAGAACATTTCAAAACTACTGAAAAGTTATTAGTGCAAAATTCTGGTTGAAAAGAGTTCAATTTCTGTTTAATATTTCACTTTGTAATGACAGTAGTATTAAGAAAGGTGATGATCCTAGATATAAATTTAAATATTTTGAATAATAATTCCAGAATGTATGGCTTTGATTTAATGCTGGTAGCTGATCAGAGTAAAATCATACTGCACAGGCATGAACACACTTCCAGAAGATAACTCAATTGTGATGTTATTGAATGTGTTTGTATAATGTATGACTGTGGCATTCAGTCTTCATGTAAGCAATTTTTTGGAGGAGGTAAATCATTGTATCACCCAGGGTTATCAGCCTCAAAAATTAGAGGGGGGAAAAAAATACCATTGATTATTTACATGATTTACATTGTTCAGACTGTTGTCCCCATCTTTACTGCCATATTCACAACACTTCAACAATTGTATGCTCCAGCATTCTTCATTTGATTGGAATTTTGAACTCTTTATTTCATCCACCGGGGTAGATTGTTCTAGTTTCACATGCCATGCCTCTTCCGAACATGGCCCAGTGGATAAAAGCATTGGTTGAATCCAGTGACTTAACCAAAGGTGCTGTTAATTCAATACCTGACTACAGCAGAGGTGAACAAGAACGTGGAAAATGGAGTTAAAGGGAGATAACTAATACTGAGATATCTGAAAGAGGCATATTTAATGCCTGCAGAACAAGACTGCTTTCATTTAACCACCACAGAACTTTTTTCTGTCTGCCATCAGAATGTCTGATGCTAAACTCCAAGAGACCAACACACTACACCTTCTTGGCCTCATGTCTTTCACAGTCATAAAGTGGAACGACTATACTGAACCAGTTGCTCCTGCTACACATCTCAAGATACTTGACAAAATCCAAAGGATCTGCAATGTAATCAATCCTGACCTGGCATCTCAACTTCAGTCTCTTTCTCACCAATGTGACATGGTGTGGCTTACCTCTGTCATTTCTACAAATATTTTCCTAGCAACTGCTCTGACATGCTTTTTTCCTTTGTTCCATGACTACATGAACTTAAATGTGTTACTAGATGGGCAACGAGGTTGCAGTGTTTTACTTTTGGAATGGCTAAATGCAACCACTACTTCTACTCTAACAGTTTCTTTTCTTACACTTCTCGACTGTGGAACTCCCTTCTGTTTTCTTGCTTCACTGTGATCTTCAAATATTTAGATGCAATATCAATTACCATCATTTGTCTTCTTGAACCCTGTTCATTTTTTGTCTATTCTTCTATTCTATCTATTCTCATTCTTTCACTTTCATTCCTGTAAACCCTTGCATTCTAGTGGCGTTACCAACTTGCTTGAGGAGAAATGATTAAAAATATCATTATATATATATATATATATATATATATATATATATATATATATATATATTTTAAATATTTATATTATTAAATATAACAAACAACAAATTTCTATTATGTTTGATCATGAGGCATTTTAAGTTTCATCTGCTGGCTTTAATTTCATGAGAAAATAAAGACAAAAACTGTCCAATATTTATTATTATGATGTTCCTAGATCTAAGCTTTCGGTTCACATGAGTCATCATCAGAATGGTTATATGGACATTACAACAGAAATGTTTACTTAGATCGAGGAAAAGCATAATAAAAAAATATCCAGATATTGGAGAGTTTTTGTTATTTTCTCCCAAAAGTAAAGCCACTATACAAAGCTTACAATGGCTCATGATCAAACGTCAGAGACATTTATTGTGTGTAATATTTAACAATATATGTCTGAAGAATGATCTGCTGCCCCAATACACTATATATCTTCAATTATTTATCCTTTAACAATGACCTGGGCCGTAAACATCGCCTCTCAACATACAACCCGCCACATAAACATCACCTCTCAACATTCAACCCACAGTAACCTCACCCATGTATAGTTTGCCATGATATATGACAAAATCATTGTAAATAACACGGGAAGTCACACCAACAGTAAGACTGAGAGCCATTATTTATGGGGGCAGGTTTTGAGCATGTTCAATGCTAATGGGTTAAAGATAGAACAGAAATAACTGCCTTTAGCAGAAATTCATGTTAATCAATAAAGACAGATGAACAAACTACAGATTTTCTTTTATGTATATTGACTAAACAGAAATAACAAAATCAAATAAAGAAAATTTGCTCAGACTGTAAATTATTTCTGATTGAGATAAAAATCAATCAGATGGCTAACATTGCAAGCCAAATTCTTTCTGCACAACTTTCTATTAATTTCCTAAAAATTAGTCATGTGACATGATTAATTCAGATTGTGTAAATGAACTACTGACCATAAAGAAATAAGTGGACAAGAGATTTGTCCAATAATAAACAACATGGCTGATTGAATTAATCATTAATTAATCATATTACCAACACAGTTACAGATTTTTAACTGTTAATATTACTGACCGATACAAATATTTGCTTGAAACAGGATTATGGAAGAATGCTTGGAGGAATATGATTTGTTTTTTTTGATTTTACAGTAAGATATCTTTTTTGTACATTAAGCTTTAGAAATCAAAATTGTTATTCCTTGTCTTGATGGCTTACAGACACATTATGTTGAAAAACACCAGTTCCCAAATGATCACCAAAGTTAAGCAATGTTGAGCCTGGTCAGTACCTAGATTGGTCACTGCTTGGAAATACCAGGTACTGTAAAGCTTGGATGTGTGGGTGGTGTAATGGATAACGGCTTGGTATTGTTAATCAGAGGCCTGTTGGGTTCATTTATGTGCAAATACCCTTGTGAAAGGCATGAATTCTCTTATCCCCCAGCTATGGGTTAATTAGTAAGCCTTATATCACTAAAACTATTATTATCTTAAAAAAAAAAAAAAAAAAAAAATTTTCCAATCTAAAAATATTTTCTAACTTTAAATAACTTACAAAGGGTTGATAAGCCATAGAAAACAAATCAATCAATTAATACTTGTCTTGACATAAATTGTTCCTGATTACAGTGCTATATAAAAAATAAAAAAAAATATTAAGCTGAAATTATTCAAGAGTACAGAATTTTTTTTTTTTAAAAATGGCTTATGAACCTTCTGTAGTTAATTTGAAACCAAAACATTTTTGGATTCTAAGAATAATTTTGTTCTGTCTTAATTTCTGGGACAAGAAATTATCATTATTTACACTATTTACATGTGGATTATTGTTCTCATCACTTTTTTGTTTTTGGTAGGTGAATATTGTATTACAAATTTATTTTAGATAATAATGATTTTCAAATAGTTACTACTATTTAACCCATAGCTAGAGGAAGAGGTTGATTCATACCTTTCCCAAGAGTATTTATGCATAAGTGAATCTAACGAACATATATGCAATTAGAACTCAGCTCTCCAATTTCTCAATTCAGAGTTGCTATCCATTGCACCAGCTGCACATGAAAGAGTGTAGCAGCAGCAGCAAAAGAAAAGGAGTTACAAAACCATGTGAATGCAGCCAAAACTTTTGGCTGTTTTCATAAAGTGTTAAAATTACTCAAAACAGGATTAAATTCAGGAAATTTAATTTTTTTTTTTTTTTATAAAGTTCCTCTTTGCTAGCCAAGAAGAGGATATACAAGAAGATGCTGAAAAGTTCTCAGCTCAACCCACTCCTCAAGAATCAGTATTTCAATAACAAGACAACAGAATATATATTTTTTTTTTTGGAGAAGTCAGGAATGGAGCCAAGTGAAAGAAAGTTGAGAAATTATGTGTCAAAAATGTTAAACTTCTTTAGAGGCTACCTTTTTGTCCATTCCACCCAATTTAAAAATGAAAGACAACATCTAGTCAAAAAATGCTACAAAGACAAATGAAGATGCCATAAACCTATCTTTAAATTCTAATTTTTGTGATGTCCGAGTCCCAAGAAGCTAGTAATTACGAAACTCTGAGTCAACCTGAGTATGGAGGTATGATGGAGTATTGGATAGTGGCTTGGATCGAGGAATCGGAGAGCTGAGTTCGAATTCCACTTGAATCCATTACATTCACTCATGTGCTAATAACCTTGGGAAAAGTATGAATTCTCTTCTCCCCCCAGCTATGGGTAAATAGCAAGACAGTGTTCTATAGCCTTAGATGGCAACCTACTGCAGGAAAATATCTGCCTCGTCAGATATGATTTCCTAAGCATGTATCATGCATGGCACATAACTGAGTTAACCTCCAACTTTCACAATTTTTTTTTATATAATTATTGCTCAACATTGAGCACTTTATTAGCATAAATTCTGTTCACCTTGACATATGTTGAATTACATGATTTTATGTATATTAATAGGTGTCATTACTTTTATTATAATTTTCTTTTAATTTTTGTGACATAAAAGCCTCAATTCTATGTACATTGATTGATTGATTTGTTTTCTATAGCTCATCAATCTTTTGTAGGTTATTTAAAGCCAGAAAATATTTTTAAGTTGTAAAAAAATTTTATTTTACCTTTTTTTTTTGAAGATAATGATTTAGCAATACAAGTCATAATAATTAACCCATAGGGTGGAGAAAACTGGATTCGTATCTAACCAGAATTTGATAAACAAGAAACTATATGCGGATATAAAGTGGGGGATCGATTCTACATTACAATCAATATATAAACTGATCCCTCACTTTTTAAATGCAGTGCTCCTATACATTTATATCCCAGAAAATGTAAATAAATCTAAGATATGCCTATATAGCTAATCAATATTTCACCACGTTATTTGAAGCCAAAAAAATATTTTTAGATTGTGAGATTTTTTTTTTTTTTTTTTTGATAATAATGATTTAGTGATACAAGTATTACTAATTGACTCATAGCTGGTTAGAGAAGAGGTGAATTCATACCTTTCCCAAGAGTATTTGCATATAAATATACTGAACCCAAGAGGAATTTGAACTTGGCTCTCTGATTAACAATTCTGAGCCATTATCCATTACACTACCTACACATCTAAGCTTACAGCACCTGGTATTCCCAAGTGGTCTCAATCACTTGTACCATTTTCTTTTAAACTATTCAGCTGCCAATGTAGCAAATAATGGGTTAGTATCAACTAAATAGAAAAAAAAGGTCGCTATAAAGCTGTAGAATTTATCTCATGGAATTGAGTCTTTGTATAAACATGACAAAATATAAGGATTAGCTACCAGGAAATTCTGCATGTCAGTAATTTTCATCCACTTATAAAATAGGATTGTGTCTATCCAAAGATGAGCTTTAATTTAAATGCACATCTGCTTCCTATGACTGTTTGGAATATCCTTTTAGGCCTGACTAAATTATTTGTTAATGTCATTGTTTTTAATACTAGAAAATAAGCATCAACCATAAAACACTTGAGTTTATGGAGGACATGACATTTTTTTTTTTAAAACAGATGTAAGAAGTAAGTTCCACGCAAGCAGCTTCTGCCCGCAAACCACTGCCCTGTGGAACCAACTCCCAACAGGATGTTTCCCTGATCGCTACAATCTTAACCTGTTCAAGGCTAGAGTTAACTTATTTTCAACTCCTATACACACAAATGGCCTCCAAACCTAACCATCTACCTCTAGTTGTCCCTTAGCTATGTAAAGGGGTGAACCTTGCTGTAAAAAAAAAAAAAAAAAAAAAAAAAAAAATGGAATGTCAAAAGGACAGTTTTTCCATTGACACTGCTATTATTTTAACTACCTTCACTCCTTTCACCAGACAAAATATCCCAAGATATGAGCAGTGGAACAAGAACAGTCTACCTGCATAAGTCAAATAAAGTGTTTAGTTCAGAATTCCCTGTAGATTATCCAGATCAATATACAGCTGGGGAGGTTGAAGGGCACAACATCCAAAACATTGTGAAATAAATAGTTTAAATAATAATAATAATTCCTCATCCCAGAAATTACATTTTTGATTTGTTTGTTTTTTTATTTTATTTTTTATTTATTGCTTCTTGGTTGGACCAAGAACTTTTTAGCATTTCCTTATAATAAAGAATAAATTATTAAAAATAATTTCATTCACACAAAGTTATGAAATTTTATTATCACAGGCCAGATAACTATAAATTTGGCTACATTTTTTATCATTTTTAATCTTTATTTGATAATTGTTAATTGAGCTGTGCAAGGAGGACAGCAATCAGTTAAGCAATAACTGAGTTGTACTAAATAAGCAATAAACAAGATATACCTTGGCAGGCTTAACAGAATAAGAACAAATGGATCAAATAAAGAGTTCAGTTCAAAATTCTCTGAAAGTTGCCTGGATTGACAAACACCTGATGCAGACCAGAGGGCAAAATGGCCAAAACGTTATAAAATAATGGAGGACAATAGTCCACATATAAATAATGATAACTCCCCATCCTTGAAATTCAGAAAAACAAAAACAAGCAAAAAACATCACAATTTATCAGACAAAATATTTTTTTCACATAAGTATACAATCATTTTCTACAATATTCAACAAAACCCAAATTCATATTTCTTGTGACTGAAAATTTACCTTGAAACCAAAATATATCTTGTGTTCCCTCACACATGCTAGATCATTAAGATCCATAAGGGTGTGCAGAAAAGTTCTCAACTCAACTAAGAAAGGATTCTAAAATGAAAAAAAAATTAATTGTGGCTATTTGGTCTGAGTTTTTAAAATAGGCAGAGCCGAGAACTTTTCAGCACCCCTCAGATAAACCCATAAAGAGATATTCATTTGTAAGTCTTAGATTTTGCTTAAAATTCTTAACTAATGAACAGTGTCTAATTAGCAATGCATAATAAACAAATGCTACAATGTAAATACTTGATATCATGACAAAGTCCAACAAAAACCACAATCAACACAGCTAACCAGTAACTGTTTCTACCAATAATTGTTAATAAGTCACCTTGCCTAAAAGAAGTAAAATTCAAAACAGTAAAGAATAAAAATTGTTTTTGTGGATAAATACAACTACCATCTATTTCTGCATATAAGAAGACCTTTAAATCCCCCACCCAAAAAAAAAAAAAAAAAAAAAAAAAAAAAAAAAAAATCACCCTTAAAAATGGGGGGGGGGTCTTATATTAACACCCTCCCCCCAAAAAAACAACCTTAAATTCTGAGTGATGTTTGTTAGTAGAGTAACCTCAGCCTCAGTATAATAATGAATAACATGCATGAAAAAATTCAAATTATCAAATAAACTGATAATAAAAGTAACAATTTCTACCTTATATATTACTGGCAAAATATAATAAATTGCCTATTCGAAGAATAATTCCATATCAATGAAATCAACTTGCATCCAAGCAAGCTCAGCCAAGAAAATGTAAACATTGAGTTATGACTGCATTCACAGCAACATTTATCATACATTATTGTACCGTTATTAGTGGTATTTTGTAATTGTCAATAAAGTATAAGTAAATGGCCATTAGTACACCAGGCTGTTTGTCACTGTTTAAATATAGGGAAAGAAGAATAATCAGTATTCGCAACAGATCACATGATGAAACGTAAACAAAACAATGGTTTCCCCTTTTAGGGGATGTGTGTAGGAAAAACATGATATAAAATTGGTTTTGTTATTTATTTATATTTTATTTTGAATTCCTAAGGATACAGTAAGTAACAACATTTCCAATAATATCATCTTTATATAATCAATAAGCAGTTGTCTTATACTATAAGTATAGGGTAAATTCCTGAA